TCGCCGATCGACCCGTTTCGGCCAGCCTCTGCTTTGGCCGTGGCGGCGGCCCGCAGCGCCTCGCATTTGCCAGTGACTCCGTGGCTTGGTTTTGGCTGGTCCAGCGAGGCCAAATCTGTGTGTGTCTCTTTTCAGGTTGGACCCCTCAAAAGGGTTGGTTTCCCGGTAAAAACGGACCAAAAAGGACTTTAAAAAAAGAGCGATTGACTCCGAAACCAGGTGGCGTTCAACTTCAATGGCGTTCAACTCCCTTTCTCCATGTACACATGGCGAAACCCAAATGGGAGAATTCTGCCCACAACTTTTCACTCGTCTGTATCTGAAATATTGTCATCGACGGCAACGGATCCAATTCCCCGATGCGCGTGCACTGCCTTAGAACCAAATGTGCCGCATGTGGGGCGCAACGGGGGGCAGCCGTGCCCGAAACCCGGTTCACTTTTGGATGGTAGCAAGATTGAAATCTCAGTCGCCAGAAGGATCCACAAGTAAAAGGTGATCACCTTTTGGAACCTTGACTACATATGGACCAAACCAGAAAACCAAAAGGTCAAAAGGTCGGCTTTGGGCAATTGAGTTGTAATGGTACTAGAACCACCGAGAGGCCATATTATAGTAGAACCACCTGCTGAAAGGGCCGATTGGGGGTGGCGCTGCCCAATATCGTCTATACCAGAATCTTCCCTATTTTTTTTTATTTTGTTGGTTATTTTTCTTGAATCTTTTCTGATGTGTCTCCTGCAACCATTAACAAAGCAACTTCAATCAAACTCAAGCGGCGCGCTCGCTCGCGCAGCTGAAATTCAGCCCGGAGAAACTTCTACATGCTAAGTGGCTGCCAAAGGTATGCCATGAGTGCCGTGTCTTTCGGAGTCAATGCCTCTAGGTGAATTTGACAGCAAATATTTTTTTGGTGGCATTTGCTTCGGGCAAGTCTGGGAGGGATGAAAATTAGCATGGTGCACTTTCGGGATTTTGCCCGAGGCCTGCAAACATTTGGGTGAATTATAACGACCTCACACGACCTCACCCCAAATGGTGATTTACATCTTTAAAAAATAACCCATCCAACAGTCGCTGCGACTAGCCCGATACTTCCTAGGTCCTCCAGCAGAGAGGTTAGAATAAAGTTACCCTTTTTTCTGTCGTAGGGGAACCCTCCCCCAAAAAAGAAACGGTACAAGTTGGCACTGCTGGAGGACCTAGCTTCCCATGTCCCACGTCTTCAAACCTTTGCCTCTGGCGCCGGCGTCGGCTCTGCTGCACGACCTTTGCAGGGAGGCTGACCAGTGGTGCGTCGGCCAGTGTCTAACGTGCTATTTGCCGCTGAAATGCTTGGTTGCGGTGGACCCCTCTGCAACAAGTCTAACTTGTTGTGATCCAATGGAAAATCCATAATTTCCCGAAAAGTCCATTTTCAACTATCCAACGATAGCCATAAAGAATGCTCTTCCAAAAAGTAAAGAGTCCAAGAACCTAGGGAGTGATACTGCGGATGTACGAAATCCACTTGTAGCAAAGATTGTTGGCTTATCCCAACGCTTCACCATTTGAAGAAACACTCAAATTTTGACCCTCGGCTGAACCTGAAGCTCCCTCATAACAATGGCTCTGACCTTTCCTTGGAAGGCTTTGAGATACATACTGTGCATGGACAAAATCCTCACCACTTTGAAACCACGGGAAACCATTGTTCATTGCTATTTACAGGGAAAGCATAATTTCAGGGTTTCTGAGGTGGTGCAGGATTTCGTCCATCCACAGTAGTGCCAGGGGACGAACTCAGCACCTTTTGGCATCCGGTCTGGCGCATCGACGGTGGCTCGCTCTCCAGTGCCGCGCCAGTCTTGCGAGCTATGTAAGAAGACCTAGCTGCTGCTTGGTCAGACTCTGAAGCATGGAATTCGTCACGCAGTCTTCCGCTTCTTGCCAGCCTTCTTTTCCTTTTTGCTTTTCTCCTTCTTGCCTTTCTTCTTTTTCTTATCCTTCTTGCTCTTCTTGTTCTTCTTGTCCGCTTTCTCTTTGTTCTTCTTTTTCTTCTCCTTCTTTGTCTTCTTTCCCTCCTCACTCGAGTCGGAGTTCGCGCCCTGAGTTTTTTGAAACATGCGCTGCTCAGCGCTGCTCACGAATCGGCCCGTGTCCTTCCAGGACTTGTAGAGATCCTCAGGCAGCTCCCTGGCATCCCCTCTGGACATGTACCTCGAATCCGTATCCCCGCCGTCCTTGGGACCTCTCCAACCTCCACCGGCCGAGCTGGGCAAAAGATCGGGCTTCCCGATGTAAGCAGCTGCTCGGAAGGCCTTGGTGTCCTTCAACTTCTCCTTCTCCTTCTGTCTCTCCAGCGCCTCTCGCTTGAATCGCTCTCTTTCGGCTCTTGGAATACCTTCTAGATGATCCCAGGCCTCCTGAATCTCCTGCTTCTGCCTGCTGTTCCGCGCGTCCACCGTGTCCACCTCGCTGCGGCTCCACACATCGCCGTCGCTCCAGTGTAGCCTGCCGTCCGCCCCGAGCCTCCCCTGGAAGCTGCCCAGCTTCGTCACCAAGGTGCACTCCGTGGCGCCCGTCCGCGTCAGCTGCGACGTCCGCCCCTCGGCCTTCTTCTCACTCGCCAGGACCACTCCGTGCAGCCCCTCGCGCCATCGCAGGCTGTCGCCTTTGATGACGCCTCCGGTCCAATGGCCATCCAAACTCGGCTCCTCAGCCTTGGGCGCCTCAGCCTTGGGCTCCTCAGCCTTGGGCGCCTCAGCCTTGGGCGCCTCAGCCTTGGGCTCCTCAGCCTTGGGCTCCTCAGCCTTGGGCTCCTCAGCCTTTGGCTGCTCCTCAGCCTCTGCGCTTGAGCCGGATGAGGAGCTGGACGAGGACGTCATCGGCCTTGAACACAAGAAGGACGGCAGGGTGGTAGCGAGGAACAAGCATTCAGCAATGGTTCCACCAGAACTGGCAGAGGTGCACCTACTTAGAGGCTCCCTGAAGATTGGAGGGTAGCCCTCTCATTTTGGTCGTGTTTGTGAGTCATTTTGGTCGCAGTCTGTTTTGGGGGGTCGTTTTGGACGTTTTCAGCCCGCCTTCGCTGCCCCGCTCATGTTGGCCGTAGTTTTCGCTTGTTTTGGTCGCTATAAAACCCGGACGAATCAATCAGCTTGACTCAACTCAACGAACTTCATGAGCCAGCGGCTGCGTCTGAGAGTCACAAATGTTGTCGGGACCAGTGTAGGACCAGGACCGAAACGACTCTCGCACTAGAACCAAAACGAGATCGCGCCCGTGTAACATGGGATGCGTCGCTGAAGTAGATCGTAGGCCTCTATAAGTTCCCTTGCGAGTTAAGAAATTCATAAGGAACACTACCTACTTCTAAGGAGTCCAGAATACACTGCAACTTGCAACTGGCTTTTGTGCAGGCTGGGAGCTGTTTCATTGGCGCCTACAGAGCTAGATGCGCATTCTGATTCCAGCTCGATTTCCACAGAAAAATCCCTTTGCTTCTTCATTCAATGTTGGATGCTTAAATGCCTCAGGGGAGCTTCTTTGCTTGTTTGTCTCTTGGAAGAATGGACAGCTGCCGCCGAGGAACTTGCTCTCCGATCTCCCTGAGAATTCCACCAGAGGATGCCAACGCAACTGCAAATCAGCTTGCTGGAATCCAGTCTCCAACACAAGCTGGATGCTCGTCACTTGCCTTTACACAAATTACAATCCTTTACGCAATCCACATTTGGCTGTGGGTCAAAACCCTGTACCCCTGGTGAACATCAAAATAGGTGGTTACATGGGTGTTCATCCGCCCCAAAATGGAGGCATAGGTTGTGACCCATGGCCATTTAAGAAAGATTTGGTCTATCCCAAAGCTCCGCCATTCTGAGGTCTCACAAAACAAAGAGACAAACAAACTCGGCGCCTGGAAAAATCGCCCGACGCCCGTCACGACCATTTTGGACTCCCCGCCTTCAGCAGCGAGGTAGGCCTCCCGCCGAACCTCGAGCCGGTTTGCGTGACTTGGCCATGGGTCAAAACCCAAATCGTACCCCCAGTGAACATCCCAACCCCCACTAAAATAGGTTCTAACATGGGTGGTGCAACCCCAAAAATGGTACCATTGGTGTTGACCCACGGCCATTTGCTTCGGGAAACTGCGCAAAAAAAACAGAGAGACTGCAATGGGACGCTGCAAGCTTGCCACTGACTGCCAAAGCCCGGGTTTAAACGGTTTGCTGCATGCCACAGTTCCAACACCTGAAACAACTTGAATCCGCAAGTAACGGACCGACGTGGGTGAAATCGCGCGTAGATGGGTGCGTCCCCCCCTCCATCCCATAGGCCCAACCCGCCTCCTCCTCTACCGCCTGGGTGACGTTCTCCACCGCCTGCTGCGGGAGCTGCCTGGTCAAGCCAGAGGCTCTGGTAATTATTCCAGGGGTTGATTCCCCCTTCTGTTCAACCATCGTTCTTTTCAAAAACCAGCTGTTTCCCCTGAAGTTCTGATGGTTTTCTGGAAAGAAGGATCCCTGGAAAGAATGGGGAAGTGCCCCCTAGAGACAACTTCCCCGGTGCGAAACCCGTTGCCTAGCTCCTCCAGTAGAGAGGGTACCCCCAAAAAAAGGGGTGAGAAAGGGCACCTAGCTGGGGGACCTAGCGTTTCTGCCATTTGCTTTCGCCCTGCAGCTAACCATATGCCACGAAACAGGAGGTGTCCAACAGAAATGGGAGAAATGTCACGTCAAGCTGCGCAGCTCGGCAATCTCTCGAGATTCTTTCCTCGGCGTCCATCATTCGCAACATCAGGAGTTGGCTTTCCATATGCGGTTTTGCTTGGTTTCCAACAGCAGGGTTCCGTTCTCTCAGCTTTCTTAGTTTGAATTGGTGGTTTGGAGATGTTCAGGGATGGATTCCCATTTGCCCTCTACAAGAAGAGATTCAACCCCTCAAACCAATCCAAACCAACTCAAGCCGAAGCCTTTGCCCTTCTTTCCGGTTGCGGCCTTGCGCACACTATTTTTTTCGTCGCATTTCTCGGGGTGTCTCTGAGCATCGGCGTGATCACCTTCCGTGAGATCGGGAGTCTTGCGGATTCCGAAGTCTCCTGGGAAAGAGCTCGCGTAGCGGCGTAGCTGGAACTCGCCGGGTCTCTTCAGAGCTCGCCTCAAGTTGCGAGCTGCTCCGACTGCATCCTCGGGATGGGCACTTGACCCGGTCCACTAACATGGAACCTCTTCCAGGACCCCGAAACGTCAGGTTCCATGTTAGTGGGGGCATCGCAGAAATTCCGAGACTTGCGGGTACATTGGGTTCCTCAAAATATGGACTCCTCGAGGTGGTTGGTTTCCTCTTGGCTTCCCCTTTTAAACCATCCAAAATGGGGCCAATCTTTTGAGCCACGCCCACCTCCGTTTCAGTGCTGAGATTCTGACCGACCTGACTCACCGACCCGTGAGACGGCTCATTGGTCCGCACGCACCTGACCGCCAACTGGTTGGGTTGTTTTCGGGTGCGGAGACCCACAAGTTGCTAGATCCTCCAGTAGAGAGGTTAGAATAAGGGTACCCTTTTTTCTGTAGGCTATTTTAGTAGGGAATCCGGCCCTTAACAAAGGGTAAAAGGGTACTGCTCAGGGACCCACAGAATGGATGGTCTGCCTTTTCTTGGCTTCCCTAATTATAAAACCGCACCCATTTTGGCAAATAGTGCCCTGCCTCGCGGCGTAAGTGCACTTTCTTAATCCCTGGCAGCTGCCAAGAGGGATCGAAGTAGCCCCCTACACCGATACGGAAGTCCATGGACACGCGCGTGTAGGGCGAGGTGTTCGCAGGCACCTCACCAGGGCAACCGATTCTTTTTGTTGGCCCCGGACCCTTTGAACATTCAGGTGGTGATCATGTCCACCAACCACTTTCAAGGTGGTAAGACGTGAAATTTCATAGCCACAAAGAAGAGATACCCAAGAATAATGTGAGCCACAGTCGAAATATGCGCTAGTAAAGGACATGGGACAAAAATAATATATGTTTTCTGCCTGTGGAAAACTTCGTGAGTCCCTCCAGATCCCCTCATGTAAACATAGACTATTTCTCTTGAACGAAACCGGAAGGGAAAAGGCGGGGGCCAGCCTGCGTCAAGCGAAGGAGTCATTGCCCAGGTATCCCAACAGGAGCCGCCGAGCCGAATTCCCAGGAAAACATCCAACCGCTCTTTCTTCCGGAACCGCTCGGAACCTTCTGAAGCCTTGCGCCCGAACCGAGCCACCGCTGAAGAGACCTCCCTGAAACCCTCCGCTGGGGGTACGGGGTTTTGACCCATGGCCAAGTGTCTGCGCGCTATCTGAATGCAAAGCAATGTGTTCCCGAAGCACGAATCGTACTTCGCAGGACAGCACGCTCGTGGGAATGCAACGTCCCTCTCAAATACTTCTGCACCGATGTGGGCCATGGGTGAACCCACCAACGACTCGTGAAGCCAGCAAAGCCAGCTAGGCCCAAGATGCAAGAAAAGGCAAGAAAAGGCAAGAAAAGGCAAGAAAAGGCAAGAAAAGGCAAGAAAAGGCAAGAAAAGGCAAGAAGCCAAGATATCAAGAAGCCAAGAGACCAACCACTCTATCTGCTGGTGTTCCCTGGCACCCACGCTTGAACTCTCGGGCTCTCGGGCTCTCGGGCCTTGTGCTGGCACAGGGTACCATGAAACATCGCAATCTCCCCGTAGTCAATCGCCAAGGCCTGGAAGTCCCCCGCGTCCGGGGAACTCTCCACCCACAGGCTGGTCTGCGTCAGGGAGTAGTCCTACGGAGCCGCGGGCATGGCTCCGGGCTTTTGGTTATGGCGACTTCTGATAGGTGCCTTCATGGAAATACAGGAAAAACAAATTTAATCCAATCAGCCAAGCACATGCACGCAGCCCGTGGCAATCGTCTAGCGCCATCTGTCAGCCAAACATCGAAGCTGAGTTTTGCAGCCAACATGTACCAGAACCACGCAGCCCGTGTATCTGACATGGTCTAACGCCATCTGCCACATTCGGCTGCACTCAGTGCTCAGCCCTTGTGACAGCAACGCTGTTTTTCTATCAACAATTATGGAAGTTGGAAGAACCTGCCATCTTGAAAAACCTGCCCTTGACCCATTGGAAAAAGGTGTTCATCCAATTGTCCTAGGTCCTAAACGGTGTTCTCAATGTGATTTCAATCCTGCGTACATCTGGGTACCATTTTTTGCATTTGCTGAGGTCCCCGGGAAAAATACATATTTCCAGTAGTGATAGATTCCCATAGAACCAACAGGGAATATTCACATATATTATACAGCAAGTGGGCGCCTGAGTTGACTCGACTCGGTCACTCGGTCCGTCAGCGGCATCCAGAAGTTGAGCTCCCCGATCTGGTGCCCGTACTCGGCGTCGCGGTGCGGCCGCTTGAACTCCCCGGAAGGCGGCTGGATCCTCCGTCCGCGGCGCGGAGCTTGGTGCTCCGGGCTGGGAATGACGTCCACCGTCCGTCCGGGCGCGCCAGAGCTTGGTGCTCCGGGGTGGGAATGAACCACAGGGGATCCCATGAAAGGAAACCACAGGGGATTGTTTTAGGGTTATTCCCTCATTCAAAAGCTGCTAAAAAGCAAAGAAAAAGAAAGCCGTGGGAGTCCCTGAGCCATGGTAAGCACCCCCTGTGTGGGTTAGTTGATTGCTCACTTACCTGTGCCCGAAATAGGGTCGCGTTGGGGACATCGTCCGCACCAACCCCCCAAGGTTTCATGCGGGGAACTTGCTCTTGCTCGCTTAAGGTGTTGGAAGACTGCCGTCATGAAGGCCCCTCCAGATCCGTAGGAAGAGGCTACCTGTCGTGATATTTGGGGTTTGGTACCCCAGTGAACATCCCAATCCCCACTAAAATAGACTAACATGGGTGGTGCACCTACCCTGAAATGGTACCATTGGTTTTGACCCACAGGTGGCCCTGAACCGATGTTCCGCTGAAGCAATGCACATGGAGACTTGGACTGCAGGGTGTATTGCCATTCGATGCTAACTCCCCCATTCGCATGGAGAACCAAGGCCTCTCTCGGAGAGAAGCCAGGCGCAACTTAGCGACAAAGATGGCTGGTGCTCAGCAGGAATGAAAGAATGACCCCGAGATAAACCATCCAACTGGTGGTGTCCTTTTCACTTCTAAGGGCACCCTGGGGTTCATTCAACCACATTCCCTGCCTATCGCACCAGCAAGAAAGCCTTCAAATCTCTCCTCAACTTGGCCGATTCTTGCAACTGGTGGGACCTGTGCAGCCACTTGGTGCAGCTCAGAAAGCTCAACTTGTCTCTGTTTTTGGAGACCCTGTCTGGATGCCCAAAGGAAACTTTTTGAAAGAAAGCGAGCATGTTTTCCAGGGGTCCCTGATTTGGTTGCAGGCAGTTGCCTCCTATTGGGAAACCACTGGGAAGCTCACTTCTCCAGCAAGTTGAGAGGTGGCAGGCCTAGATCGACCCATACCGCCCAAGAAGACCCAAGCGTCACGTCCGGAGTCTCGGCTCGAAACCGCCTAAAGGCGGGGTTCCTTGATTTGGGAAACACTTGTTCCTCCCAACCGAGTTGTTTCATCTTGACTCCCCCACAAAGCCCTAAAGCTATTGACCCAAAGAAGACTCAACCAATCCTTCCACGAGCTTGGCTCTGACTCATGCCACTCATGATAGTTTTGGGGGCGGGCCGCTCAAATGCTTAACCCAGGACCACAAAGGACCCAGTCCAGTTTTGTTGGCTGGGCCTTGCCTCCCCTCAGGGGTCGCTGGATTTCCCCTTGAACAGCTGCAATTTACAGGCGGGTTCCATCGAAACTGCCACTTTTGGAGGCTCCAAAAAGGAGAATGGAGCAAACCCTGCCTCTACGGGAGATTCAGGCATCCTCTGGAAAGCGGAATCCGTGAGTTCCCAAATGGAGCTTGACCCGGTTTCAATCGCTCCTCAAGGTGGGGGGGTACTGGTAGAAGAAGGACCTGGGATCCGCATCTCCCAGCGCATTGAGGCGTTGCTGCAGCCAGGGGACCAACTCTTGCCTCGAAGGGCCATGAAGCGAAGGTTCCGAAAACCGAATCCCGTTTGGGACGTATACGGAACCCTCCTATTGGATGTGTTCGATTGGTAAACCAACATAAGCCTGACCGCTTCAAGGTGTACCCGCTTTGGTCAAAACATCCACTCCTCTTGCGCGTTCCCCAAAACAGAAGCCCTTATGGTCTCGCAGCGCCTTTACCGTAATGACCGGTGTGGATGTTTGGGGTGGAGAGGGGTAGAGAGGGGTAGAGGGGGGGGTTTTCAGAGCCCTTGGGGTTGGTTGAAGGGAAATCAAATGGAAACACCCGAAAGGATTCTTCCGGGTATGAGCCCTTGACCACACCAGCTTGACAGAACATGAGGAATCCATGGACCTTTGCACACCTACTAAACCTCCCTGATGAAAAATAAACAAGCACCCATGGGTGTATCTTTCTACGTCGCCGCCAAAATGGAGGGTGTCCTTTCGGTTTCCCTTTAAACACCACAAAAGAGTGTTCTCATGGCAGCTAACATGAAGAAGGCCGAAAAGAAAATATGTTTTTCGCTTGGTCCAACGTCTTGCTTTCGCTGGCTTCCTTTTTGGTTCGAAACCTGCTTGGTTTCCCTATCTGGTTTTCCCTGCTGGGTTCCTTTCTCGTTTTCTATGTCTACCTTCCCTGCGTGGGTTCGCTCTTTGGTTTTTCTTGGATTCCAAAAAAAATCGGGCACGAGACATCCAAAGCATCCTCGCCATTGAGGTCACACATAGAGCTGACATCTGAGGCTTAGCCGGGTCCTTCTTGACACAGACTCAGTTCGAGCTTCTTCAATGGCCCTCTTTAAATCGCACACACACAAGATGGTAATTTCCTTCCTGAAGTGAGGTGTTTGAGGGGGCAAAATGTGTGTCGTCCTCAGGCACCTAAGGACCCGTAGGGCCACCATTTGCAGAATAGACCCCAGATAGCACACCAGGGCTACGAACCATGACGCCGCATCATAATGGCTCCCACGGCATCATGACGATGTTGGCAGCATCATGGTGGTGTTGACAGCATCATGATGATGTTGACAGCATCATGATGATACCACAGCCCCTCAGCATGGTGCACGAAATAGACGTGCAAACAACGGAAAAAGGAAAAGTCTTAATGAGCGCAGCAGCATAATGATGATGTTGACAGCATCATCCTGATACACCAGCCAACAACGATTCCGTGCTACATATCCGGCAGAGGAAGGCAAACACGACGTCCTGACGAGTCCGACAGCATCATGATTGATGACGCGGGCAGCATCATGATGACGCGGACACGATCATGATGATGCGGACAGCATCATGGTAATGCGGTGCTGGTAAAGGCAGAAACATGATTCTACCACAGCCACGAGTCATTTGGCGACAGCGTAGTGAAACTCAGCATCACCCTGATGTTGAAAGCGTCGTGGCGCCACCACACCCACAAACCATAACGCAGCATCGCAGTGATTGCGCGGCATCATGACGCGGTTGACAACATCATGGTGACACACCAGCCACAAACCACTACGCGCCACAGTGGTAAGCAGCGACAACGTCCGAATCGGTTCAGTTGACAGCATCATGATGCTGCGGACAGCATCATGATCATGCCACACACGCGATACCCCAAACAGCCCGCCCTAGCACCCTGCCATCCATGTACGCCCGCGCCGTCACCAACACCGCAAAACTGCAGCCCCAACAGCACCCCAACGCAGCACCTGCACCAGCACCAGACATGTCCCCGATCACCCTGCCGTCACACACTCTCACCTGCAACAGCAACCCAAGACAGCGCTTGCACCACCACCCAAAACTGCATGCCCCCTAGCACCCGCCGGCAATCTCGGAAAATTGCCACAACGTCACCAGCGCCTCACCTTCACCAGCACCTCAAACAGCACCACCTCCGCCAGCGCCGCAAACTGCATGCCTTGCAGGGCCTGGCCGTCACCTCCACCAACACCCCACCCCCTAGCACCCGGCCGTCAATCTCGCAGAACAGCACCTCCACTAGCACACCAAATTGCGTGCCCCCCAGCACTCAGCCGTCAATCTCGCAAAACGGCACCTCCCCCAGCACCCCAAACTGCATGCCCACTAGCACCCGGCCGTCAATCTTGCAAAACAGCACCTCCACCAGCACCCCGAATTGCATGCTTGCTAGCACCCGGCCGTCAATCTCGCAAAACAGCACCTCCCCCAACACCTCAAACTGCATGCTTGTAGCACCCAGCCGTCAATCTCGCAAACCAGCACCTCCACCAGCCCCCAAAATGCATGCCCCCTTGCGCCCGGCCATCAATCTTGCAAAGCGGCGCCTCCAGCACCCCAAACTGCATGCCCTAGCACACGGGCATCAATCTCGCAAAACAGCATCTCCACTAGAACCCAAATTGCATGCCACGCAGCACCCGGCAGTCAACCTCGCAAAACAGCCAGCACCTCCACTAGAACCGCTGCATCCACTAAAAGCACCCGGCCGTCAATCTCGCAAGACAGCGCCTCCACCAGCATGCCCCCTAGCACCCGGCCGTCAATCTCGCAAACAACTGCATGCTTGTAGCACCCGGCCGGCAATCTCGCAAAACAGCTCCACCAGCACCCCAAACCACCTGGCCGTCAATCTCGCAAAACAGCACCTACACCAGCACCCCAAACTACATGCCCCCTAGCAGCCGGCCAAAACAGCACCTCCACCAGCACGCCAAACTGCTTCCACCACTAGCACCCGGCCGTCAATCTCGCAAAACAGCTCCCCCGAACCACCCGGCCGTCAATCTCGCAAAACAGCACCTACACCAGCACCCCAAACTACATGCCCCCTAGCAGCCGGCCAAAACAGCACCTCCACCAGCACCCCAAACTGCATCCACCACTAGCACCCGGCCGTCAATCTCGCAAAACAGCACCTCCACCAGCACCCCAAACTACATGCCCCCTAGCACCCGGCCAAAACAGCACCTCCACCAGCACCCCAAACTGCATCCACCACTAGCACCCGGCCGTCAACCTCGCAAAACAGCCAGCACCTCCACTAGAACCCCTGCATCCACTAAAAGCACCCGGCCGTCAATCTCGCAAGACAGCGCCTCCACCAGCATGCCCCCTAGCACCCGGCCGTCAATCTCGCAAACAACTGCATGCTTGTAGCACCCGGCCGGCAATCTCGCAAAACAGCTCCACCAGCACCCCAAACCACCTGGCCGTCAATCTCGCAAAACAGCACCTACACCAGCACCCCAAACTACATGCCCCCTAGCAGCCGGCCAGAACAGCACCTCCACCAGCACGCCAAACTGCTTCCACCACTAGCACCCGGCCGTCAATCTCGCAAAACAGCTCCCCCGAACCACCCGGCCGTCAATCTCGCAAAACAGCACCTACACCAGCACCCCAAACTGCATGCCCCCTGGCAGCCGGCCAAAACAGCACCTCCACCAGCACCCCAAACTGCATCCACCACTAGCACCCGGCCGTCAATCTCGCAAAACAGCACCTCCACCAGCACCCCAAACTACATGCCACCTAGCACCCGGCCGTCAATCTTGCAAAACAGCATCCACTAGCACCCCAAACTGCATGCCCCCTAGCACCCGGCCCTCCATCTCGCAAATAACTTTCCCTTCATTGGAAGTTAGAACCCCTATAGCTTTCAGCTATCTGGGGGAACAAGGTGCGCCCAAACGGACGCGGGTTCGTCCCGTGTTACTCCGAAATACTACGACCAAACCCCAGTGCTCATAAGAAAAAGTGCACCCTTGTCGGGTTGCTTGATGTTGAAGGGAAAGAGTTGTTCTTGGTCTTTCTGGTTTTGCTCCGATGTCACAGGATGTGATGTGTCCTGTTTTCAGTCCACCCGCCTTTTTGGGGACAAATGTTGAATCGGAAGCCATAACAAAATTCGCACATTTCGGGGTTCCAGGACAAGCCCACTTGTTGCTTGGGGTGGGGGAAGGGCATGTGTCTGTGTTTTTACAGGGCAGCCTTCAAACCGGCAATTGTGGAGGTACCCCCCTGACTTTGACACATACCTACCCCCCTGACTTTGACACATACCTACCCCCCTGACTTTAACACATACCAAAGTCGAGTGGGGCGATTCCTTTTTCCTTCCAAACACCACAGCCCAAGCAAAGCAAACCCAAGCAAAGCACACCCGAAAAATCACCCCGAAACACCCACCAAAACCACGGTCCAAGCAAAAAAAACGCAAAACTACTCCAAAACACCAACCACAAACCACGGCCCAAAACACACCCCAAAACACCCACCAAAAACCACGGCCCAAGCAAAAAGAAAACGCAAAGTTACCCCAAAACACCAACCAAAAACCCAGGCCCACAAAAACCCAAAACACCAACCAAAAGCCCAGGCCCAAGCAAAGCAAACCGAAAATAACACTCCAAAACAACAACCAAAAACCCAGGCCCAAGCAAAGCAAACCGACAAAAACACCCCAAAACACCAACCAAAACCGGCCCAACAACCAATATATCAACAAAATAAACACCCCAAAACACAAACCAAAAACCCAGGCCCAAGTAAAGCAAGCCGAAAAAATACACACCAAAACACCCACCAAAACCACAGCCCAAGAAAAGCAAAACCTAAAAAAAAGAAGCCCCAAAACACCCACCAAAACCCACGGCCCAACCAAAAACCACGGCCCAACAACCAAAACCCCCCCAAAAAAAACGACACCGACCAAAAACCCACGGCCCAACAACCCACAAAAACAAAAACAACGGCCCAACCCAAAACCACGGCCCAACCAAAAACAAAAACACGGTCCGCCAGGGCGCCTCACCAGGTCTTCGTAGATCCCCAGCAGCTCGTCGCTCGCCGCCACGCGGCGATGCAAGTTCTGCCGCGCCGGGAAGCTCCGGAAGAGCTCCGAGCGACCGGCGAAGCGCTCCAGGCCTCAGAGGGAAGTCTCCGGAGAGGCGGCCGATGCTTTCTACTTGCTACTTGCTACTGGCTAAAATTATTTTCCCCGGTAAACACCAACAAACAATGGCTTCCCCTGGTTTCTGATGATACTGATGGATTTCTCTGATTTGCTTAACAAAATGTCAGTTGAAAGCGGGTTGGATGTGGCTTGGGTCCATCCATGTGTTCCATTTGCTCCATTTCTTCCATTTGCTGAAGTCCACTGTAAGAATTGAATATGTCCAGTAGTGATAGATTCCCTTGAAAACCAGCAGGGGGAAAAAATAAAATAAAAATGGTCTTAAGCAAATGGAAGATTTGCTTGACAATATTGTCGAGTTGTGCAGGATTTTCCCTGGTTTCAAAGTGGTGCAGGATGTCCCCTTTCATTTGCTGAACAAAATTGTTCACTTGAAAACGGCTTGGGCGTGGCTTTTGTGGATCCATCCCTCCCTTGTTCTGCCACTTGCTTAGCAATATTGTTCAGTTTCGCTTCCACCAGCCCAAACCACCGATTCTTGGGTGGCCTGAAGATTGTTCGTGTTCCCAAAGGGAATTTGTCACTACAGGAAATATGTTTTCCCGTCCCATTTGCTTAACAGTGTTGCTGATGGACAAAATCAATTTCGCAGCACCTAAGAAACACTAGTTTCTGATGATTCCCCTGTAAATGCCAACAAGCAATGGCTTCCCCTAGTTTTGTTGCAGATTTCCCCTTTCTTTGTCAAAGTCTAAAGAAATCTACATGGACCATTGTTCTGGGCCATTAACTGTTCAAACATACATGTCCCTCTTATTGATGGTTTTGGTTTGGCGGTTTGGTTCTGGGGTACCTTTCCCATTCAAAAGGAGCTGGTCCAAACCATCGATTCAGGGTTGCTGAATATAGTTGATGTTCCCTTTCTTTGTCTTAAAGGGAATCTGTCACTACAGGAAATATGCTTATGTTTTCCAGGCTTCTTAGCCAGCCCCCCTTCGAGGATGCATTTGGGCAGTTAAGAGATCACCCAGGTGAGACACAATCAAACCCCCAGAAAGAGGTGCGGCCGCCCCCACAATCTACATTCAAGTGAGGAAGTAAGACCCTCCCATCACCTTCTATTTGTGCCGCAGTCAAAGCTGACTGATGGCGCATGTTCCTCATGGTCTCCTTGCGATAGAACCTGATTGTCTACCAACCCCGAATAAGCAAATCATTTCATCAGAGTGCATCTTGCATTTCGCGAAAGTACATCAGACATCCTTCTCGCCCGCGCCACGAGAATAATTTCGCAGCCCCAAGCCCACAAACACCCAGAGGAGATGGCGAAAAAAATGGATCTCTCTCCCGAGGTTCCTTTGGGGAGAGCTTTTGGGTTTGCATTTTCTGTTCCACAAGCTTCTCCTCGTCGCTTGACAAATTAGCAGAGAAACAAGCCCGCGGCTTTACGACTCGTTTCAGACTCCTCCCACTCCACATGGGTGTTGTCTTGCTGGTGCGATAGGCAGGGAATGAGAAGTGGAATGACCCCGAACAAAACCCATCCGCTGTGGTTTCCTATAAGGCGACCAAAGCGTGGGGGTTCATTCCATTTCTCATTCCCTGCCGATTTCGCACCACGTTGTCTCAACCCAAATCCAGGTAGCTCCCGTCGTCGTCGAAGTGGCCGAGGTCCGGAGCCTTGAAGGCTATGGGAAGGTGTGGGGCTGAGGCTTGGTACCGGCTTCAGCGGAAAGGGAAGTGCTGCGATGTCCGCTTCATTTTTTTTAGTAAACTCAGGGTTCACAAAATCACCGCTCTGTGACGTGACCTGAACCCTTTTTGTTGCTTTTTTGTACTCGGAGTCCTGCGTGTGTTCTGGTGTGTGTGTGTGTGGGAAAGCCTGGACAGTTTCGTGTGCTTCATGTACCAGGGCTCCACACAACATGCGGAGACCATCGACGTTAAGCTGGGCCATGGACGGGAAAGCCAAAAGGTGTAAAAGGGGGGTGGGGGTCCGGGCCCCAACTCCATGCATCTAGTCTTCCCCATAGGGAAAATGGGTTAGTATAAATGGCGATCTCCAGGGGTCACCGGGACCCCTCCCCCAATCAACCATTTTTAAGGGACCCCGGTGGTCCATGGGTCGCTCTACTACAACTCTTCTACGCCACGGTCCCAGCCGCAAATACAAGGCTAACCTTTTGGGGCATCCATGGATGGGAAAACCCAAAGATCCAAAGCTCGGTCTTCAACTGCGACTAGGTCCTCCAGTGGAGAGGTTAGAATAAGGGTACCGACTTTTTTTCTGTAGTCTATTGTAGTAGGCAACCAAGAAAGAAACGGGTGAGAAAGGGTACCGATTGCTGGGGGACCGACTGCGACGCCTGTTTTTTTTAAACGCGGTCCCATCGCCTGAACGTCTCCACATCCGAGGCGCTGCGCGCAGCATCTCCGCGACCGCCCGCCGCAGATCGAAGCGCGCCGTCTCGAAGCGGAGGACCTGGAGCAACCGCTTCGGGAAGCGCACGTCGGATGGCGCAAGTCCCACAGGCGGGTCATTTGAGGCTTCGAATTTGCGGGTTCAGCAAAAAAAACAACACCATTTGGGGATGTGTCAAGGTCATTAGGTGTCCTTTTGGGGGAAATAGATGGCCCTGGTAGATGAGTAAACCACCGGGTAAACCAGGGCCATCTATTCTTTTGCCAAAACAACCAAAAAGGACACCTATGGTCAAGGTGGGGGTACCTTCAAGAAGGCTTCGGTTCTCAACCAAGGCACCGAGCCCCAGTTTGATTGGGTCCCAATAAACCCTTCGATTCAATAGCTTCGTCCGGCGATCGGAACCTGCTTAGAACAAGACTTACTAAAGTGGAAACCACCCCAAAAAAAAACACTGAAGATACCCAAAAACGTGCGTTCTGTTGCATTTTCATTGGGTTGAGCCCCCAACAACCCTGTACTAGGGGGGAGTGTGGTGTACCTAATCATAAAGTCGAGTGAAGCACTTGTTCGCTAACAGCTCAACTCATCAACATTATTTCAAGAATCCATTCTTCTTGAAGCCAAATGTTGATGTCACTCCTAGGGAAACCATCCCTTTGGGAATATGAGCGGACCATGGAATGCTCGCAGATCATTAATTCAACTAGATTTGTTTCATGTCATGTCGGTTCTTTTTCATATCACGCCATTCGTTCCTTCATTCCCTCATTCGCACAGGATTTGTGTTGTGGCATGCATCAACCACTGCTAACCATCTGCCTTGCGAGAGTTCCCCGAAGTGTCGAGAAATGTTGTTTTTCATGAGCGCATTTAGCTTGCCACCGCTTCTTGTGAGGTCCTGAAAACGGTCTAACCTTTCGTAGGAATGGAAAAGCCAGCGAAAAACTTAGGGGCAAAGGGCACGACTAGGCGAAAGATCCACCAAGCGAAAAGGATTCCTCCACATGCGCTAATCTTTGTCAAACCTGTTGGGTGGGAGTAAACAAAAACAAAGCAGATGAAAGGCCATGGTCAAAATAACAAATCCCAAAGTTCAATCTGATGGACCAAGTCCATTTCGCACCACCGTTCAGAAACCCTGGAGTGATGATTCGCCTGATACCAACAAGCAATAGTGCACCCTTCCACCCAAATCCGCTCAACATATTCTGCAAATTCTACAATGTCCAAATCTGAAATAAGAGTGAGAGCCCCAAGTAAAGGACCTACATCATGTCCAACACCCCGCTGTAAGTGTCCACGATGATTGGGTGGCCTAACACAAAGAAGAACCCTTGGAAAAATACGCAGAACCCACGGTGCAGTTACCAGTTGGCATGAAACCCTCCGAAATGTTGCCATCCCAATTGCCTCGCTGGGGGCCTGGATTGACCTCAACGTCCAAATGGGTAGTCAAAAAATCGGGGAACCCTAAAAAGGCCGGGCTTGCCCTTTCGGCTTCCAAAAAACAGCAACCCCAAAAAAGGGGGGTAACACACACACACACATACAAAGACCATGTCCACCCCCGCACCCCCCCCCCCCCCCGCCCAAAAAACCAATGAACAGAAACAGGGCGTACCCCCCACCCATTAACATGGAACCTGGCGTTTGGAAAATGGTCCCTTCAACAAAAAAAACAGTCCAAACCAGCACCGATTCCCCGAAAACGTCGAACGATTCCGGCTGTGAAACGGGTGGGGCGGTGTCTTCCAGTTGCTTCAGCCCCCTGGAAAAAAAGAGTCCAACAGTGAAAACGATTCCCATTAAAACCAGCAGTGTTTTTGTTTTACTTTTCAGAAAATGGAAGGAGTGTTCTATCCCAACTCGTCTCCTCCCATCTCCCCGTCTCCGCGCCTCCTGCCTCCGCAGCTCCGGCGGCAAAGGCCGCGCCGGCATCTGCCCCGCGCCCAGCAGCAGGCGCTCGCCCTTGCTGGCCATGGCACTTGGCGCGGTGCCGCGGTCCGTTCCGCCAGCGGGGCGCGGGGCGCGGCGGAGGACCCAGCGAAGCCGCGCGGAAGAAAGATATGGCTGTGGGTCAAAACCCTGTACCCCTGGTGAACATCATGGCTAGGTGATGCCATGAATCCCAGTACGGTAGGTGATGCCGCATGGCTATATCCCAAATCCTTGTGTGTGTGTGTGTGTGCGTATGTGTGGGGGTGTGTGCGTTGGACGGTGCCCATGTTGCAGCGGTTCGAAAGGGGGACAAAGGAAAAGAAGGGACCCACAAGCCCAAATCAACATGGAGCCCCTTGGGGGAAAAAAGGAAGAAGCTCATGGTGCAATGTTTACATGATAAAGCACAGGCCTGAAAAGAATGAAAGATCTGCCTTTATGCAAAAGTACCTTCTGAAGGATCCAGGCAAGGAAGCTCATGTCTGCCATGTTCTCTGAAGGATGCCCTCTAGGCCCACGATTTCTGCGCGAATGTCAAGTGGAATTGATTGATGCCAAAACCGGATCGACTTCAAAACACAAGACAAAACCCATGTTGTATCGACTCAGCATTATATGCCGACACATGTACAAAATAAACTACGCATACTTGCATATGTATGCATCTGTATATATATATATATGGGTGCCCACACAACAGCAACACAACACAATTTTATGCAGTTCTACAATTATGCACATACACATACACATGAATGCACATATACCTCAATGTGCGCAAGTATGCGCATATACGCATATACCGATTTGCCTATACACATATGCACATGTATACATAGATAGATATGCAAATACATGTTTTCATACACACAATGATACATCGATACGCATAGACATATGTAGGTAAACACGGACAACGTAAACACGCATACATATATATATATATGTACATACGGATACACATACACAAATACAGATGCACATGTACACATGTGTATACACATTCACACATGTACATATATACACATACACATATACACACATGTACACATATATACACACACATCACACATATCACAACGTGCTTGCACTATATACAGGCTTCACGACATAGACGTGTGACGTGTGTATGTGTTGTATGTGTGTGTGTATGTATATATATAATGTATGCATGCATGCATGCATGCATACATGCATACATACATACATTACACTACACACATACATACATACATAACATACATACATACATACATTACATTACATTACATTACATTACATTACATTACATTACATACATACATTACATTAATACATACATACATACATACGTACATACATACATACATACATTTTGCATACATACATACATTACATTACATTACATTACATACATACATGCACATACATACATACATACATACAGTACATACATACATACATACATTACATACATTACATACATTACATACATTACATACATTACATAAATACATACATACATACACACACACATACATACATACGTTACATACATTACATACATACATACATACACACAGACATACATACATACATTCATTACATACATACATACATTACATTAATACATACATACATACATACATACGTACATACATACATACATACATTTTGCATACATACATACATATACATTACATTACATTGCATTGCATTACATTACATTACATTACATTACATTACATTACATTACATTACATACATACATTACATACATACACACATACATACATACATGCATACATACGTACATACATACATTACATGCATACATACATACATACATTACATACATACACACATACATACATACATACATACATACATTACATACATACATACATACGTACATACATACATACATACATTACATACATACACACATACATTAAATTACATTACACACATACATTACATTAAATTGCATTACAGTACATACATACATACATACATTACATACATACATACATATATACATACATTACATGCATACATACATACATACATACATACATACATACATTACATACATTACATACATATACATACATACATACATACATACATACATACATACATACATATACATACATACATACATACATACATACATACATACATACATACATACATACATACATACATACATACATACATACATACATACATACATACATACATTACATACATACATACATACATTACATTACATACATACATACATTACATTACATTACATTACATTACATTACATTACATTACATTACATTACATTACATACATACATACATACACATACATACATACACTGCATACATACATTACATACATTACATTACATTACATTACATTACATTACATTGCATTACATTACATTATTTTACATTACACTACATACTTACATCACATTACATTACATTACATTACATTACATTACAGCGGTGCCACTGTACAAGAATCTGTTGGTTAAGATTTTGAGATACTGGGCATCCCGGTAGCCTCCCCCAAAACAACGCTAGCCAATGAAGAATTTGAGTGTCACTGGCCGTTTACCTTAATTTCTTATCCTGACAGCTGCTGCAACTTTTCCAGACAGGGCTGAGCTAATCAAGCAGCAAGTATTTTGCTGGTAAAAAACTTCACACCTTCCGTCATCGTAAGAACCTTGGCCATGCCGTCTTTGTCGACCGCCTTGCAAACCCCTTTCAGTCAACTGAGCCATAGCTAAGAGGGATATCGAGGGTTTGCCGGATTTGCCGACAAACTTGACAAAAGCCTTGGGCGTTGTCCGGCCCTTTGCCTTTGCCTTTGGCTTTGCCTTGGCCTTGGCGGAAGCAGGCTGGGGCTTGGCGCTGGAGCTGGGGCTAGAAGAGCTAGAAGACCCGCTCGAAGTGGACGAAGAGCCATCGCTCTCCTCACCATCAAGCTCAAAGCCTGGTTGCCCGGTGTATATCTTTCTGGCTTGCTGCGGCCACAACGGGCCCATGCGCTGCCCAGGCGGCCATGGCACATGTGGCTTGCCCAAGCCTTCAACTCGCATGTCTTTGTCTGTGTGCCCATCTCTGGCTATCAAGCACCCAGTTTTCAACCAGTACTCTCGCCGGCCACGATTGTACTTCTTGTTTGTTATCTCACGGTACGCGCTCCCGACTAAGCGGGTCATCAGCCGTTCCTCCTTTGCCTGGGAGGGCTACTTTGACAATAGATCTCAATTTCTTATTTGGTAGGTGGGGGAACCCAAAAACTTGCAAGGATAAGAAACTCAGTGTCTAGCTTTCTACATTGCTCCTCCCGATAAGCAATCCCAGACACTCAGGTGGGGATCCAAAAGCTTGCAAGGAGAAGAAACTCAGTGTCTAGCTTTCTACATGGCTCCTCCCGGTAAGAAATCCCAGACACTCAGTTTCTTATTTTGTAGGTGGGGGAACCCAACAATTTGAAAGGATAAAGCGCATGCGCACACAGACAAACACCCAGCTCCTGCAACTTGCCACCGTCATATTTCGCCTGAAGGTCAGGGTCTGAGTCCAAAAGATTCTCCAGGCCCCGCTTCATCAAGGCCTTGAAATGGGCTGCATAGCCCTGGTCCACTGGCTGCCACCGGTGCGTCAACTTGGCTGGGCCAAAGAAGCAGCTCACTGTATGCAAGCGCAAGAAGCAAGCAAGGTGGGGGCTCCTCTGAGCTTCCAGGTTGTCCAGGAGCAGCAGCGCAGGCATGCTGGCCACATGTTTTGGCGCGATATGGGAGAAACTCTGTCTCGTAGAAAGCCTTCGATGTCTCAGTGTCCAGCCAAGCGTTTCTTTGAAAGAGCACCCTCACGTCGGGATCATAATGCTCTGCCTCCTTGTCCAAAACCTGGCCAGCACCCTTGAAAATCACGGTGGGGCGCATCAGGGCATAGCATCGTCTCCGCACAAGGTCAGGTGCAAGCTCGCCATGCGCTTGCCTTCCTTGTAGCCAGTCAAAGCAATTCGGCCTTCTTCGCGCTCCTCCCTGGAAGCATATGTGGTGTCCCGAAGCAGGAAAGAATCTATGCCGGTTGTGTCGCAGTTGAAGCGCGTGTGTGGCGGGTACTTGCCCCAGACACGATCTTCCGTTGGAGCTGCCGGCTGGTTGACCAAGTCAGGGCCCCGGAGCACAAGCTCTCGGTAGTAGAGGTGCCAAGCACGCAAAGTGTGCGCAGCCTCGTCAGGCTTGTCTTTGCGCTTGCAGGTTCTGCGCCTCAGCTTCCAGCCGCGCAAGGCTGTGAAGTTGGAAGCCCGCTGCTTGGAGGCTGTGAAGGCTTTTCCTCGCCAGTGCAGCGGCGGTAGGCCCTGCTCCTCGCGGTTCTTCAGGAACAGCCTAGCCATTCTGCAGATCCATCCACGTCCAACTGCACGTTGCTGCTGCCTACGCTTCTGCATGGCCGACAGAAGCTCTTTCTCAAGCTCCACCCACCCAGGCCCTCGAACAGGCTGCCGAAAATACACTTTCTTGAACATGTCTTTGCGACCACAAACAGCTAAGAGGCGCTCTTCGGCAGCACGCTTCGTGATCTCGTCTGACTTCTTCAGCCACTTCCCCAAAAGGGACGGATTTATCTTATTGGCCTCAGCTGCCGTCTTCTGCGGTGTTGGACCATTGTGTTCCTGCAGGTTCCAAAAGCTGTGAAGGCAATCCGACTTGAAGGTGAAAGAGTGCTGCTGCCTCGTGTCCAAACCTTTGGTCAGCTTGAGCTGCCCGTCCTTCCTCTTTTTGCCTCTGCCTGAACGTGCCTCTCCTGTCTGGGTTTGTGTAGCCGTTGGGTGAAAAGGGCTACCTCAAAAACAACAGGGTCCTCACTTCTTCTTTGGACAAAAGGGACCCGCAACCCAAAAAAGGCCCCCGATAAGAAACTCAGTGTCTCAGTTTCATATTTTTGAGAAAGGGTCCGCAGCTCAAAAAGGCCGCCGATAAGAAACTCAGCGTCTCAGTTTCTTATTTTTGAGAAAGGGTCCGTAGCTCAAAAAGGTCCCCGATAAGAAACTCAGTGTCTCAGTTTCTTATTTTTGAGAAAGGGTCCGCAGCTCAAAAAGGTCCCCGATAAGAAACTCAGTGTCTCAGTTTCTTATTTGGACAAAAGGGTCCG